TGCACAGGAGGCGGAGGGTGTGGGACCCGTACGTGACTTAGCGGCCGCCGCAGAGAAAATCAAATTTCAGATCACTTTGGAAGAGCCCGAAGACGAAGAGGAATACGAAGAGTCTGCGGAACAGTTAGAGTAGACGTGATTTGTCCGCCAGTTTTAGGAGAAAATTGATTTATTTTTTAATTGGACGTGAATTTCATATTCAAATTGAATGCAAACCACACGACATACATGTGCTGAGAGGCTGGGATTGAGTGCAATGAACTAATTGGACATTAATTCATAAATGTTATCTTATTTGAAGATTAATATTGAAAATAATAGTTAATTTTATATAAATTATAATATAATGAGTCGTTTCATTTTTGGTTCAATATATTAATTGCCATTTATTTCATATACAATATAGAAAAATGAATTGTTTTTTCACTAAAACTCTTAAGGATTTCCAAAAATCATTGAAACATTAAATGTAAGAATTTTCAAGAAAAACAAATATTATAATAAGATTAAGACTAGTCATAAGATTTTATGAAAATATATTATCTCTTGTTGTCTTATATGATATATGGTATGCAAGAATAATAATAATAATAACAATTTTAATATTCATAATAATAAGTGAAATGAAAAACAAGTGCAAAATTTTCTAATAATGAATATTCAATTCAAATGCAATAATGAATGAATTAAATTTAATGGTACTATCGATTTGATGCACACTTTTATTATTATTGTTGTTATTTATATGTCGGATGAAAAAGACAAATGCAAAGCAAAGTGAACAGCAATTAAATCGATCCCAAAAACTCTTACAACAAATAGATTCTCATTATATGTGAGTAGAAGTTGAGGAAAAATGCATTCATTCACATATCAAAACCCATGTATTGTTAATAATTGTTGAATCATTTGTTCAGAATAAGTGCCAACAAAATAGTGAAAATACCTGTTTATCAGTTTAGCATAGAAATGACATTTTTCGTGTAATAATCACATTATTATTATTATTCAATTCAACAACAAGTACTCAACTCTTTTCTCATCACTCGTCTTACGATTATTTGATAACTCAATTAACAATAATATATTCTGTTATATATTATATCCAATATATAATTGTTATAAATATCATGAATTAGAATTAGAATTTTAATTTTGTCATAAATATATTTCATAATTTGTTAATTCATTTGAACGTTTGTTTTTTGACTAATATGTTGTCGAATTGAATAATACAATTAAAAATGTTATTTCTTTTATTAGAGTCCATTCGCTTTAAGATAATACCATTTGATACCATATTTCATTGGATTCTAGTGTTAATTAAGACATCAGTTTGAGTGAAATGAAAATCTTTAATTCAAGTTATGATTGAAGTAACAAAACAAACAAATGTTTGTATTTTTCGTTTCAAATTCCAAATTTCCAGACAAACCATTCAAAAGTGCCTCAAATATATGTTTTTGATTTCAAAATGTGTAAAATTATTGTAAATATAGTCGGATAAATAAATTATATATAAATTCAAATTGTGTACAATTATTGTAAGTTATAAAAAATGCTGGCTATTTCAATTCTATTCAAATTAATCAATTTTGTTTCATCAATGTATCATTAATTCAAATTTAAAGAAATACAGTATACAGTGCAAAATGAATATATAACGACTTTATAATTATGAATAAATATTTTACTAGTAGTTTACTAGTAAAAATAATTTAATTCAAATTCGTTTAAGAGTTTTGCAAAATTGATAGGTTACCTTGTCTCTTTGATCTTTTTTCATCGCTTTATTAAACTTTATTAAAAAAATTATTATTGTTTAAAATATTACAGTATTTGTCTTTATTGAAAACAGATTATATTTTTGGAAATATTATACCATATAATCCTGTTAGATTTGATGTAGTATATTTTATTTTAATTAATATTTGAAGATTAGAGAACATTTGCAAACATCTACTATAATTAAGAATTGTAAATTTCGTGTTCAATACAAATAATTAAGTGAAAATCTATAAATAAATAAAAATTACGATAATTAAAAACTAACTATTGATATTAGAGCTGTGAAACTCTAAGGTTGCACTGTGGGACTTGCAAAAAAGTAATACTGTATTATTTTAATCAGTTTTTATGATTAATTGTTGATTTGATGTAAATGATAGTGAATTTTTAGATAAATATTACTAATATTCAGCAAAAACTAAAATATTTGATATTTTTTGAATAAAAATTGCTATTTTATAAACAATTTCAGCAAATGATATACAATTTTATTGATTGAAGCAATAAATTATCAACCAAAGTATAAATCATTTTTGAATGTTATTACTAATTATGCATTGAATTCTTTTTCATTTTTTCCATATATTTATCAAATGAGACTTTGATAAATTTAATCAGATTTTAATCAAAAAAATTATAATCATTTAATAAACTTAAAACAAGATTTTTGCTTTAATGAATTTAGTGAAAGATATTAATTAAGTGACTCCCATAATATAAATACAATATTTGATATGATATAGGAATGTCATATACTGTAGGTACAGTATTACATTACAAGTACCCTAGTTGCTTAAAATCATTATTGAGATACAATTTACATTAATCTAATTACTAGCTTAATTAATAATTATACAATTTTTGTCAATAAATCTTGGAAAATTGTATAAACATTTTTAATTAAGATGTAATGTAGCAAACAATTTAAACAAGCAGAAACCAATTGTAATATTAAAAATTGACGGCAATACAGATTTGGTCATGTTTATCCAATTATATTATATTAATGTTATCGAAAATCTACAATAATTAGTACAGCAGTCAATAATTAGATGTTAAACAACTACAGCTCTGTTTTGATAACCATATATAATTTCTGATACAAATATCTGATTCATTATATAAAAGTTACAAATGTCATAATTATATATTTCTATTTGATATTCATTAAATAAATTTTATTAAAATAAGGTATTAAAATCTCAATAAAAATTAATTCAGCAACACATAAAAACTAATAAAAGTTGTAGGAAAATAATCTTCAAATAGTAATGTAATATAATATAATATATGATAATACAGTAATAAAGAAAAGGAGTGGTGTCTCAATATAAATGACTC